CACATGCATAGATGAGAAAAATAAATAAATAAAAATAAAAATACGACGAAATGAAATAAATAATATCTTATTATCGTAAAAAGAAATATGTAACAACGTTGTAAACTTACTAATATACGAATTCTTTCTGCTTCATCAGCGCATACATTCTAAAATCGCTAAACGAAACGAAAAAATTACCTTTCTATACCAACTTCGAAGCGTGCTTCACCTAAGTATAAAGCACCACCGCCACAACACAAGGCTGATAACGTCTTATCACCATAAGTCCACACACCACTAAAAAACCATCAGCAAACAGACCTCATAGATAAGCTTTAAGCTCCGTTCATTAACTTTAACGAAGTGATAAAAGTTTGCCGAGTTTTCTAAAAGCTCATTTGCAGTTGAATAAAGCGAAATTAACTCTGAAAAATACGACTTTGCTTAAACAGGTTTTTGTTCTGAAATCTCAATTAACATAAGGTATATTTGTATTGTACGTCATAAGATAATTAAGTTTACACTGGTATTGGAAATGTATTGACTTATCAGGGTCACACAAAAAATATAGTTTGATAGTGACTTCGTTTTATTTTACTTCAAAAGTATCTGTACAAGGTGTAAAAACCCCAGTCTGATCCAGTAGATGCTGCTGATGTCTAATTGCAACATCTTTGTGTACGGGAGTAACATTGAAAACTCAAGAAATCAATTCACTGCTAAACTTGATGATCGATAAGCTGTCACAATATTTATGAAGTGTATAGGTGCCTACCTAACAAGCAATTAGATTTATTTAATTCTGACATCTCTACCAATACACCAACCTTGTTCTAATATTAATGTACCTAACTTTATATCCCTCGAAAGAGTAATTAAACTTATTACCTCTTTATGAATAACGATACCAAAGGGTTCCCGCAAATTAGAGTGCGTTAATATCACCTATTAATTAAATTTAAACCCTCCAAATTACCTGCCATATATTTAGACTCATTTTACTGCCATTTTAAAGCCTGTGGCCATCTTAATGGTCTCATTCGCCGTAAAAGTCCAATTGAATTCGCGCGAACATTCGCTCAATGAGCACTTAATAGGGAATCGCGATTTGTGTTCCGAGAAGTTTACGATTACTTCGAAATGGAAGGCGAATTCAAATAAATACGTCTAAAATACTGGCCGTAAACTAGGTATTTTATATTTGTGGGACTGTAAACTGTGACAGTCGGAGAATTGGGCGAGAAAATGAGAAAAAATAAATATTATGATCAATAAATACATTTACTCCATTAGTACTTAACTGTGACGAAGTACAAAAATATAACAGACAGAATTTTGAGTTACAACTTTATACCGAAATATACTAGAGCCGCAAGAAGATTCACGATATTCATCTTCAGCGATTTAAGCGTTTAAAAAACGACAGCATTAGATATTTGTCATGAAACCAATACCACGTATAGAGGACAACATAAACGCACTATTTTGAATAGTCCATGAAAATAAAGGCATTTTGACTTTGACTTTATTAATAAAGTAGGTACGAGTACCTACAGCTTTTTCAGCTCTACATTTTTAATCCCTTTCCATATAAATTTAAAAATATTGTCCATCGTCAATACACATTAAGTAATTGTTTAATTTTGTTGAAGCTCTGCATTTTACTACTTTAGATCCTATCTGTGGACAACTGTGCTGGTTGGATTGTTACTAAATTCTCAAACTATTAAGATTTAGTACATAAGCCCTCAATGTAACTGTTTGTTGTCCCAAATATAGGGAAAAAAATAGGTACGACGTACGTATTTGTAAGTCGTCTTAATCATAATTAAATAAAAGATATTCATCATAAACCCAACTTTAGCACACTCTACAAAGTAAAATGCCTCTCAGTCCCTCATCCTTGTTCTACCGACGACATTATTCAGTAGCCTAGCTCAGTTGTATGAAGGCTACGCTATCGATCGAATAAATATTTACCAGCCACAAACGAAACGAATGAATTCGCACACTTTCGATAAATTCTAACGCAAATAATATTTTAGTGAGTCATTGTTCAAACTCGGGAGTTTATTTACATTGTGTGTGATATTTCTATGTTTACGGAAAAAATAATTGTACCGTATTCTTGTGGACTTACATAATAATCTCATCGTTTATCGACCATTTGTCATTTTGATCGTCCTATATAAAAATGACTGTATTTTTTTATTTGTTGTACTGGTAATCATAAAATAAGTTATGGTGTTAATCCGAGTTAAATAGTCCTTAGCGTTCTAACATTTAAATGACTTCATTTTTACACGGGAATATTACCTGCCTACTATAGGGCAAGTTTTATATTTGTTTTCAATTATCCTCTTCTTAAATACAAATATCCTGCTTTGAACAATAGTTTAATTAAAGTTTAGTTAGAGTTATGTTTTAAAATAACAATAATTATTATAAATGTTTGGACAATTTCACACAGCTAGCCCCAAAATAAGCAACTAATATGCTTGTGTTATGGGTGCTAGCTTAACGGATGTACTACTTGTATAATTTTTTTAAAATACCATAATTATTCCACCCAGACCCGTCACAGAAATTGAAATTCATCCATTCTATTAGTTTCATTCAACTAGTGTTCAACATGCGTCGTAACTTTTTATTAGTAAGAGTGATAGAGTCTAGTCACCAACATACTTCACTTCCTAAATACCTATAAACCTCACGCAGCTGGTTAAGTCCCTCTTTATCACTTGCTTAGATATTATATTAATCCATGCCTACAAATTCATGATTCACACGTGTAAAAACAAAATATTTGCGATACAAGTCACAGGTACGTTTCGTGGAAGAGGCGATAGCCCGGCGCCATGATATCGACATTAATGCTGTTCATAGAAACGCAACCGGATCGATGCCTGAGGACTGGCTACTAAGTGGACTACTTGATGGACACGCAATATTGTTACTGATTTCATGACGTACACTCGGGTTCGTTAACTTTTGTAAAATATCTGTGATATATTTGACACCACTAAAACGATGCTATTAGTATCATAACTCATGAGTTAGTACTATCAAGTATCATCTTCTAATCGGTAGCTACCATCGGGGGCACCAGATCATTTGATTCTCATACGCGCATGAAAATAGTGGCATCAAAATCTATGTTAGGCCTCAGCCTCGAGTTTAGCGGGCAGCGGGGCGGGAGCGGCGGCGGCGCGGGAGCAGCAGGATCTTATGCGTAAAATCAAATAGACCGGTTCTCGAAAACAGCGGCGCGGGAGCGGGTATCGAGCGGGCAACGAGCGGGCAGCGCACTCCTTCTTTTGCCGACAATAAATCGAGCGTTAGGAATAAATTAATTTGAATCGAAATAAAATTGTCGCCGTTGTTCAGACATTTCGTTTGCGAATAAAAACAAATATCTCGACAACACAACCCCGAACACAACACTTCGCCGCTAAAGCGCCGCGCGCTGCGTTGCCCGCCCCGCTCCCGCGCCGCCGCCGCTCCCGCCCCGCTGCCCGCTAAACTCGAGGCTGAGGCCTTAGAGTCGTTCTGACAGCTCCTAGAATAGTCAATCCATTGGTAGTTACCCTACCCTATGATATTGATAGGTAAGCGTGTTCATATTATACCTAATCTTAAATGTAAAAGTAGGTTAATTTAAACGACCACGGCAGATTAGCCTAAATTTTGATATGAAATCAATATGTCCCTGTCAACTGTCAGCTGCAGACTGACAGATTGGATTAAATCTATTTAGGCTAATGCTTGAGCAATGGTACTTATATAATTAACTTTTAAAAAAAATAAAACCGACTTCAAATGCGTGAACACAAAAAAAAACTAATAATTAAAAATATTGCGTATAAAAAAGTTCATCCCCAATTTTCCACCCTTGGGGGTGAAATATTTTCTTCAAATTCGCATGAAACCACCCTTTTGATAATACCTATTCAACAAAAAAATAATCGTTCAAATTGATTTATAATCGGCGGAGATATTGCGTATAAAAAAGTTCATCCCCAATTTTCCACCCTTGGGGGTTGTTTTTTCTATTATTAAATTTAAATGGGACCACCCTTGAGGTATTATTACCTATACGCCGAAAAAAGATTTGTTCAAATCGGTTCGTAATTGGCGGAGTTATCGCGTAACAAACATAGAAAAAAAAAAACATACGGGTCGAATTGAGAACCTCCTCCTTTTTTGAAGTCGGTTGAAAAACAATATTACATTCGGCATCTGATTTTGTAGCGAGTGTTCACGTCGAGTTCTTGAAAAGATTTTTGTATTAAATTTTGCTTCCATGTTTTATTCATCCTGCCATACACTTACTTTTTATCACGCCGATAAAAATACACATAACAGTGGAGTTTTTATTTCGACGTCTCCTTTGTGATGACGCCTCAGTTTCAACGTGTATCCTTTGCAATGACGTCTCAGTTAAAATCTTCATATTTTAAACAATGCTGAAAAAATGTACAATAATACTCGTACATTGTATGTACTAAAAGCGCCACCACGTCTCTTTTACTCTCGCACAAACGCACATTTGCGCCACCATATGCATCACTATACAACTTTATGAATTCCTATGTGGCCAAGCCATTTTAGTTTAATTCACCTGGAGGAATTAGAATCCACAACCGCAGCATGTGCTGGGATGAGATCCCTTTAATATTTTTTATGTGAGATGTTGGAGTCTAAACTTACCTCTATATTAGCAGCCGTATTTAAATCTCCAGGTCTCCAACATTGTTACATAAGTAATCTTTTGAATATGCTTATGGCCTGATTCCGATTCCGACTCAGTAGCTCAGCATTCAAGTTGTTCCCCAGTCAATGAAGCACCTGATGTCGTGCCCTGAGTGCCCAAGCAACTGCACTCAGGAGGATTTGATGAGTGCTACTGACAACGCCACTCTTGTGGCGGAGTTTTGGGCTGACACTGTGTAGGTTTGTTGTCGACACGGAAAGGAGAAGAAGCATTCAAGTTCTAAGTACGTGTCTCCTCTTTACAGATGGCGTAGCGTAATGGAGGGAGAGTGCTCGGAGGGCGCGGAGGGCTGGCTGTTAGTGCGCGTGCACGTGCCCGAGCTCAATGTGCAGAAGAGCCTGCAGTTCCCGCGGGATCAGCTCGTGTGGGACGTCAAGCAGCAGTGTCTGGCAGCTCTGCCTAAGGTCAGTACCGCTTGGTTTAATGGTAGCGCTTATCCGGCTCGAAGGACCAAAATGTTGGATCTAGTTTAGAAGATCCGGCTCGAAGGACCAATTAAAATGTCGAATCTAGTTTAGAAGACAGTAGCTTGAACTAATAGTGGTTAAGAGGTTGCAGCACTCATGTCTGAAATCAGTAGTAAACACTACCTTAACTGGCTGTGTATTTAATATGAAGCGGAGGTTACATTTAAGTTTGGTTGTATTGATTTCGTACACCTTCAAAGATACACAAATGCCCTAATTGGAAAATGTGCCTGTGTAAAACATACAAGGTAGCAAACAAGAGACTGAAAATTAAAACTTTATATCGACTTCCGAAAACATCTAAATTTATGCAGAAGCAGTCAATTCGCGAATTGTATAACTTGTTCCAAGAAATTAGTCGAAGTGTACATCAAACTCCGTCGCCTCTGGCTGGGTACACATTTAATTTGTTAGGGTTATGAAACGGAATAAAAATTATAGCTGCCGAAAACTTTAAGGGCTGCTCAATGCTGAAGCCACAGTGAAGTATGACTTACAAATTATAGTTTTTTACAACTAATTTTGCTTTTGATGCTAGCACATTAAAGTGATAAAGATGTAGTTTTAAAGCAAAATTTAAGCTGGGGTGCATCATCTTACTTTAACTTTGACAAACGTCAAAAATCTGTCAAACTTCATACAAAAAACACCGGTTATCGTCAAAGTTACGGTCAAAGTTAGATGGTGCAACTTAACCTTAGATCAACTGAAAATACTAACTACTGGACATAAGATACATCTAAATCAATATCGAGTGGTCAGTCTGTTTTTTATGTAATGACGTCATGATAATTTATCTTAAGGGTACGAGTATACGATCTTGTATTTAGGGTATTTGAGACCACCAATCAATTGGCGTTCTTTATTAGCTGTCAAAACAATTGAGTGATAATTTATCAATTTCAAAGCAACTAAAAATCCACATTAAGAGTTGATTGAACACTAATTGAGTTAGCTAGGAGTAGAGTAATGTGTTTTTAGGAAAATTGTGCTTTGCAAATTATTGGTAGAAAATATCCAATTAAATTAGTAAGTACTTGAAGTGTTAATTGCTTTAAAAATCAACAGCATAACACTACGAGGATACATTATTTTGATGAAATGCCAATTATCCAAAGTAAATACACACAATTTAATTAAACATTACCGGTTTTAATGTAAATAGATTATGTTTTTTTCTGTTCAATTAGACTTAATTAATATCGCCATTTTCTGATAGGTAAATTAACTATTATCGAAATTACTGCTCCTCATAATGACGTATAAGCGAATCTATGTCCCATTATGTTAATAAAGTACGCATTATAAATTACGTCATACTTTCGCTTATTCAAATAATATTATGAGATCAAATTATTCAACGTTTATATGCAGGGTGTATTTAATATTTTCGACGAAACCTGCGTATCAGGTTTTAAAGTAAAATGTGCGAAATCACCACATTTAAAAGCTTGCCCAGAAATGTTATTTCGGTCTTTGACCTTGATGCAATATAAAAATAGCAATAAAACAACGTTGTTGGGGAAAACAAGTTGTTAGCATTTGGGGTCGATAAAATCAAAATTATGCATACAAATTACTTAACGATACGCAATTTGTGAGATGATAATTCAATTAAAGTATAATATTTACAGAATTTCAAAGGTTAGTTATTCTTCGTCTTCGTTTCAGCCGAAAGACGTCCACTGCTGGACAAAGGCCTCCCCCAAGGATTTCCACAAAGACCGGTCCTGCGCCTTTATTTGGTTAGTTATTATTTAGATAGATTTACAACTTGTGACACAAGAAAATAGAGAATAACCAGTTTGCAGCATTGTAATTGAAAATTATTCAAAATGTCAAACGTTTAATTTAAATTGGTACTGACATAAAACTATGTTTTAAGTGAAGGTCCTTACAATAACGATTCAAAAGAGAAATATTTTTTTATTCTAGCTGTAGGACTTTTGAAAGTTTTTTAATTTATTTACTTTTCGTTTTATTGGCATTTAATGATAGAAATAATACATATATTCGCAAACTTATTCTAATCCCTCAATCATAATTATTGTCTCCAATAATTCCACAAGATCGTCTTCGATAGACATCGAAAGCTCTTGAAGTTTGATTACGCGATTCGAATCGCGCAAACACTCGATAGATCGAATGATCGCGTTCGTTTCGAATGGAAATGGAATCGATAAAGGATTGAAGCATTTTAAATTGGTATTTAAGTTAAACAGGAATCGATTTAACTAAGAATGGAAAAGTACACTCGATCGATACTTAACCGATAATTATGGAAGCGTGGATTGAGTGTATCTTTGTTTTTCGAGGAGATTTTGTGTCAATCAATAGTCTACGAGCCTTAAAGCCTTAAATAATTTTGGTCGCCAATTTCCGGTTTGGGTTGATCTTAATATTTTCCAGGACCAATTTGGTTATTTTTGTTTTAAAATTTCCATGTTTCCATTTCAACAGAAACCGGGTTTTTTTTAATTTTCCATTCCATAAAAACCTAATTAAAGTTGCTGTTTTCATGTGAAAACTTAAAGGGGCGAATTAGGTTTCTTCTATGGAATTTGTGAATGACAGGACTTCGTTAAGTCCGCTGCTTGTAAAATAAATACCCATGAAAGGATACTAAATGACACGTAGCAAGATTCGTGCGATAAAAATTAATGTAGCTTACACAACCATGTATATTCCATCACACATAAAATTTTGCCAATTGCGACCTTTTTCGAATCACAACAATGTACCTATGTCAATGACCTTTTAAAAAACAAATAACCATATAAGTAAACTGTGTCAAAATTATAAAAAAAGTCCATTTGTATTTCGTATAACCCAATCGCATTGACATTTAAGCGCCATTGTCTCAACTTTTATCGAAACTGCATCATTTTTCTCGAGACCGATCCGGGGTTATTTTTACTTATTATTATAACCGTTCATACCGCGTAAGTGCACACGTGGGACGCTGTGGGCGGGACACGTCCGGGGACACTCGTAAATAACAATAAACGCAACTATAAAACATCACTGGTCCATTCAAAGGGCTATAAATTTCTCTTGTGCAATTCAAACCCTGGACTATTACTTTTTTGAGCTGAAAGAACTGAGTAATGGGACTTATGGTAGGTAATGGAAATCTTTATTTGACATTATGGTGTTCTAAAGTTTATTAATATTATTGAAGCGTCCCATCACTCCTGACGAAATAAACACACAAAGTTTTTCTTGTTTTTTTAATAATAGAGTATCTACCACTTAATCGTTTTTTAACAATAGGCTAGTTTCCTAAAAAAATTTTTTAGTCCGTCATGTTTAATATCAAAAAATATTGGACGCATATATTTTTATTTGTCAATCTAACAAATAATTACATAGTTATGGTGCGTTGAAGTTCACGTGCGGCACTTTTATGCACGCATTGACGTCACGAGCCTCTTCTTATGAACTTTGGCGCGCTTTATCTCTTTAAGTTTTCATTGGTTTGAAAAAGTAAAAAATACGTGTAGAGTATTTTTTGATAAGTTAACTGACGGACTAATTAAAACTCTTGCTTTTTGACCCAGGAAACATCCCTACTGGGTATAACAAAACCGGATAACTCAGTTTCATAGAATGCCATGTCGAATGGATTGTTTTCATGACAAAACCGATTATGACGACTGCACTAATTGGCAATTAAACAAAAATCTGTGTCATCAGTCCTGATTATTTCCTAAAAAAACTAAGTAACCTTACATCACAGTCTAAGAATTCGAACGACCGTATTCCGAGAATGGAATACTAAACCGATAAGTGCAAATTGGTGCCAGGTACAGTCAACCGCGTATTTAATTACCTACACACTTCTATCCTTAAGGAGGAAAGTTGCCTAAATCTGTGTTTTTGAGGTGGACTGTACCTCTTAATCTTCTGTATGTAGACTAGATTACATGAGGTTGGTGACCGTATTAATTGACATTTTGGAGCAATTTGCACAGTTAGGTGGTACAAACAGTACAAGCACGATGCATCCACTTACCTATGTAGCTAGAAGGAACGAAAAACTTTTTTAAAAGTTTCTCAATTATTTGGGTAGATATAGGTATGACCTAGGTAGGTAATAATATTAAGAATCGGAGATAAGGAAAAGATGGAAAAATGTCTCACGCCATAAGTCCGGTTCTTAAATATTCCAAAAACAATCTCTTTAGTTGGCGGAAAGGTGAATGTCATTTAATCTAATAGAACAGAGAATTTATGTTAAAATTAATCTGTCATTTTCGACTTTTATTGCAATTGGCAATTAGTATGCATCTCCAAAGGTCACCTGAACAAGCTTTAATAGGTATACTCTATTACGTCAACGGCCCCAGACCTCGCTTCTACGTGCTACGGGCCCGTCCGTTCGCGCGTGTCTTATCCGCCTAGATCGGGGAAAAATCACCGCCGACAACGGCCAAGTTCCAACACACGACAATACAAACCAGTTCCCATACCGTTATGTGGAAGTAATTCCTTAAACACAGGCGCCGGTCACGATACGATAAATACTCTGTTACTCACCCGTCCGCCATTTGCATACCGCGTAGACGAGATTCGTCTATCGCGGGAATTGGCGCGAAAGCTTGCGTCACTTTCGAATTAGGAACTTTGTTTTTTTTACAGGCAAGGGAATTAAGATTTATAATCTATGCGTAGCGACCAAAGAGTGTGTAATTAAAGTTTTTATTACTTCTATTTAAATGTAGAGCGATCAAATTGGAGATTATAGTCTGATTTATGCGGCTATATTATAACTTTTATATTTTATGTATTATTAATAACCATCGATTTTATAATAAGTATGTGTCAAATGTTAAAGTTATATGTATAATCGTATATTGTGTACCTTTTATTTATTACATTGTAGATATAACTGTACATCTTTATAATATGTATTGTATATTGTTTTCGGTGGTGATTCGGCGCCAACCACAGGTGGCCTCTTGGTACAGGGTATGTGAACATTTTAACAACTAAGCCTGTGCAACCAGATATTACATGCATGACGCAGGCCGTGATTCAATAGATGCAAGGAAGTGTATGCATGACTGTACCTACCTACTTAATCATTGCATGGTAATCCCTTAGCTCCACAGCCAAACGAGACTGGTTGACAAACTTTATCCTTTAAATGTTTCAATATCTACCGAACTGTCCCTCTATATCTCTATTTCTATAAGTTTTATTTTTTAAACTAAATAACTATGATGTTCTCCTATTGTGCATTCATGGATATTGCATGTCCGTTATGTTAAAAATGTAAGCGTTTTATCGTTATACGTGACTATTATTTCCCTTTCTTGCTGGCCACTAAAAGAGAAATTAATAATAAAACATATCGCGTGTGCCAGTATTGTACTCCGACGTCAATAAAAAACAAAAGTGAGTAATTGCACAGATTCGGAACGCACGCCACTTTCGAATTCGAAGATAGAATCGTGTCCTATTCAAACTTCGAAATGCGAAGATTGCCGTGAAAATTTCTCGCGTGATTGCGAAGACAAGACGTCCTCGTGTATGCAGCCTACAAACGCGGCCTACTTATGAGAATGGCCTATCTTACAACAGTGGACATTTTTGTAACAACACATCTTTGTCCGCTATTTAGGGCGTCCGTATTTTGTGTATTGTCCAGACACATTTCCCGGACACTTGGGTTTGAATAGGGGTGTTCGTGAAAAAATAAATGCACAAGTATTTCGTCCTGACACGAAATGTTGAAAAAAGAAGGAGTAACAACATAATACGTCACGTTGTATCTAAAATTAAAAGAATGGTTTATTTCAAATGCATCTTGTGATCAATCTATGTCTGTCATAGAATGAAATTTAAAGAGAAAGGAAAAACTGACGGGCAAGTCGTTTTAAATGTCTGACGAGTGCGTGTTACGAATTTTAATGAAAAAATGTCGATGTGCATTGCATTAAATATTAAGACTTGGTGTAAAGCTCGAAAAGAACTTACCGAGATATTTATGTTACGCAGTTATTGTTTTTAAATAAGTAGCAAGTAGAGTACATAAGGTTTAAAATATGCATCCTGAATACATAAAATTCTTCAAATTAAAAAAAATCTGGGCAGCGCAGGACCGTTCATTGTGGAAAACCTTGGGGGAGGCCTTTGTCCAGCAGTGGACGTCATTTGGCTGAGGAAGAAGAAGAAGAAGAAGAAAAAAAATTTCTATTTTGAAAATAAAAGCCTATAAAAAGATAAATTTAAGTAACGTCTTTAAAGGTCAAACTAAGTGAAATAAAATATGAATATGACTGATTTGATTCTCCAATTACCGTCTAATTTATGTTTAGTATGATGCTTTGTTGATAAAACTTAATGATGCAAAAAATATGACCTCTGCTTTGACATTGACATTTGACATACACAAATTAAGTATTAGCGTTATCTTATTAAATAAAATCCGATCAAAATAATACCATCTAAAATCCTTGATTAAGAAGCACGTATGAAAACAAATGCCCCTGTATTATTACAAGTTTGTCACAACGTGAAATTCGTTCGGTAGTTTCAGCCAAATGACGTCCACTGCTGCACAAAGTCCTCCCTCAAGGATTTTCATCATGACCGGTCATACTTAAAGTAACTATTTATATGTATTTAAACTTCTTTATGTACCAACTAAACACTGTTAAAATTACTTTTATTAAATTAACGGTAAATTCTCCACAAAATTAACTACAACACCCAAATGAAATTCTAAGAAGCTAATTTCAATACAAACATTCATTACTTACAGTCCCAGAACCAAAATTGGTACCAATAATAACCTTTCTTCTGCCACTTGATTGAACCTATCAATAAGCATTTCCAATAAATATGGAAATGAAAGCCTGTAAACAGGTCGTACTCTATTCGACAAAGGTTGTAGAAACTCTGATAAAAGTCGGGGACATATCTACTAGTACAAGCTCTGCTTAGTTTGGGCCTAGAAGCGTAGTGTAAAATGTCCAGGAATGAGGGTTTTCGCGATTGAAAAATCCGCCAGATGGCAATACGTAGACGGGAGGTCCAAATGCTGCATGATTGGTGGATTTTGACATATCTGTCAATGTCATGTCAAAAGTAACCAATCATGCAGCATTTGGACCTCGCGTCTACGTATTGCCATCTGGCGGATTTTTCAATCGCGAAAACCCTCATTTATATGTATATCTGCTAAGGGCTGCCTACAAAACTAAGTATGTGTACAGAATATTGTCTTTTCGGGTTATGTTATAGTCAGATTTAATCAAAGTTCATGAACATTAATATTATTATTTAAAAGCACAACAGGTAATTTAATCTTGCTAAGCAAACGCATCTACCAAATTGATGACGTAACCTTATTAAACCTAAATCCTTGGTACTATTACTTATTCTGTGCCTAAATAAATTGGAACAAATCGTAGAAAGCTTCAATAGAAACGAAACTATTTGAAGCTTTGACGTCTAGACTCTAAACAAAATCTCAAAGGAGTTGAAACTATAAAGGAGGTCGATAATTTATTAGCTTTCACAACACGCATAAAACTGACTTGATCTGTAATTGAAGTACACAAGGTCGTCCAGTCTACGAAATCGATCAGGAAGAATCTGGGCGTCATAAAATTAATTGGTAAAACATAAATGTTAAGGCTGAATAAGAAAGTAACACATTTATGTGTCGAGAAAAAGGGGCAACAACCGCCTTATAAAGATAAAAGGATATCGATTAAAAACACTCGAGTGCTTTAAAGATAAAAAGACTATCGATTTATATTTCGAAATCCTATATTACGTTACTATTCCCACCTCTCGTTTCCACCGCTGCAACTCTTGTGTAGCCAGGATCTACAGCTTGAGCGCTTAAAAAACCCAACTATCATCTATTTCCTCCTATATTCTTCTGATTATATTCATTGCGGATTCCAAGACAGTTAGCTTAGCTATCCCTCAGGACTACTCTACCTTCGCTGGTTGAGTTTTATTTCAACGAAACTTGGTCTCCAGACCAAGCTGTAGATCCTGGCTATACAGGAGTTGCAGTGGTGGGAGAGAGTGGTGGGATGAGTGCTTTTTTAATCGATTAAATGATATACGATCTTTATATTTAGCACTGCTTGTTTTGATGTAGACGTAAGTATGTATATTATTTTGTTATCACGAGCATTTAGCGCACGTTATCTCAACAAGTACGCCTATTTACTATCTACACTTGACAGTGGTTAAATTAAACGGTTGGTTAGTAATTGATCTGACTAAACATGTTTTGTTAAACTTTATCTTGATGACCTTTTCAATGGTATAACAGATACGAGTACGATTTAAGCAATTTCTTAAGTCTTCGCGACGTCTAGTATTTTATATGTGGATATTGTGACATATATTTTTATCTACAAATCAAAATATCAAGTTGACATTATGCCGCAATGGAAGGCGATTACTGACAGAAACCCAATTATACAAGCAATTTAATTACACAAACGAAATGTATTGACATGGCTGTGTTATTTATAATTTTCTTCGTTTCAATTAAGCAATTAAAAAAACTATATTTCTGAAACACGTTGTTAAATGTGACGAATTTGTGGCAAATTGACATAAACCTTTTTAAAATAAAAAAAGCAAATGACATGTTTTATTTCGAAAAGCAAAAATATGTCAGTCATTTCTCAACCCGGTCAGCGAAGCTATCTCAGACCGGTGGATGCTGCGGACTTATATGGAAATGTCATGACGTAAGCACAGCACGAAACCAGTCTAAAAACGACAGCTTTGAAATAGTGATTAATTGGGCTTCAACTGCCATTTTATACAGGGTGTGATGGACAGAAGATCAGACTACGTTTATTAGCCAGTTAATATTTTCCCGGAAAATATATCTACGCCTCTAACATAATGGAGTTTATGGACATTACTAAAATTAAAATAATAAACTAAGCACTAATTGATAATAATGAATAAAGGTGCCATTCGTCAAAATGACACATATCAAGAAGAGAAATACGTGCGATTTTGATAAAAAGCTTACAGATGTGTTATGTTGGCAACGGCAAAATCTGTAACACCTTACCGGTTGTCTTTCATTTCTCATTTTCGAAATGTTTATGATTTGAATGAAAAAAGGAATTTGAGGCAGTGAGTTCACTGCTAAAGGTTTTGACAACGTAATGTTACGTCACCCTGTATGTCAAGTTCAAAAGTTGCGAACGTGTTTATGGTTATAGAGTGATAATCGCGTCAGAACTATTTTTAGCTTTGTTACTAAATAATAGCGTGGATTAATTATCATTGGATATTGGACAAAGGTCTCCAGGTCACGCTACAGTTCTCTTTTGGTTTGGGATCTGGCAATTTATATTTCTATTCCTGCGGCTTGGTCGTTTCGCTACTATCTACAAGAACTATTGTATACAGGACCTCTAGCATGAACAACTTACGTCTTCGAATCGTTTGCGTATTCGACAAAATTCGATACTCAACCTTCAAATTAAAAGATAATGTGTCAATTTTTATTCTCAAAATAAGTTTAGTGGCACCATTTCTCAAACTAAGATCACTTTACGACACGTTCACAAGGGCGCTGTTGTAGTTTTCGTACTAAATCTTTTGATGGCGATTCGAATACGCAAACGATTCGAACTCGAAAGTTTTTCGTGGCAGCCGTACAGAAAGGGAATTAAAAATTAATAAATTTTTCAACTGACGAGTCTATTTGACGATAGCGAAACGGCCTTCCCACATATTTTAAATATGCTGTAGTTTGTTTAGTAAAGGTGTATAGTACAGTTAGAGGCTTGGCTCTACGTGAGCTTGGCTTGGCTCTATTTGATAACTTTTTCATAATACAAGGCATTATGTTCTCGTATTTGCAACATTTTACATGAAAATTCTTTTGGTGGGATCTAGTTTATCGACTACACGTACACTTTTGTTACCAAGTCAATTCATCTATTCACAGTATCACCATTCACCTTGCC